ATTGAGTCACCTCAGACCCACAGTGACCTCTATGCAAGACAATAGAAAACTGCTCCATCTGTGCCAGTCTCTACCATGAGTAAGCCCACAGTTCTAGTATCTGCTCAAGTCCATCCTGTTGACAACCTTCCTCTTACCCCTGGACCTTACGCTTCACTACAGTTCTTGTATCAGCTCAAGAATACATGTCAACCTTGTTCAAACCTTTCACGTAACACATGAGGGCACTACATAATGATGGTAACTGCATATTTTCTGCTTTCAAAGATGAAAATTGGACTGACTGGGTTATCAGAAACTATTTCATGGCACCACTCACTTCAAGTGGCACTCAGGGCATGTGCTGTATCTGCCATGCCTCAGACACACCTGTGGGTCACATAAACAAGACCAGGAAAGAGTGGGAGCTACAAAGTCACCAGTGTCCTATGGAAGTGTGTGGCAATCAGTCAGAGGGGAGAGGACAGACAGCAGGCAACCAGACAGAAGAGGACCAGGTGAAAAGATTTGAGAGTCTGAAGCCACAGAGGTTTGGGGATTTTGCTTTTTCTTTTGTCCACTGAAAGAACTGTACATGTTTCCAACCAAAGAAGAGTCAATGATGAGAGGAAAGGTAATGATGGGAAAGAAAAGAAAATGAAAGCCTACAAGCTTGCAACAGAAAGGTCATGGACACAGAATGCAGCTCTGGACCTCAACTTTCTCAGCAAAGAAGGAGGATGGGGCCAGAAGAGAAAGAACAGCTGTTAAGGGAATAACAGAATGCTGATGAAGGATACAGGCAAAGGTGGTGAGGATGAAGACGATACTATGTGTGGTGGGCCTCAAGGCTTCCTCAGCTTAGCCTCGTCAACATTCTGGCGGGCAAGCAATGAGAAGAACCACGGGCTGGAATCAGAATCAAAGATTACTGCAGCAAAAGAAAAGACAGGAGAACAACATTAATGTTATAGAAGTCTTGGGCTGTTGGCTGAAGTTGGGGAAGTTACCAAGATGTCAACAAGCAACAGAGATGAACTAAAAGGTCAGCTGATGGCAGAGACAAGGAGGTTTCTAGCTCATCTCTCTGTTCCTGCCCCAAGACTTACAAAACCAAAATTGTCACCCTGTCATTTTCCAGATTGGACTGAACACTTCTGTGTCTCCTACCTAATGGCTAGCCAACCCTTTGTTTACACAGGCTCCTGACCATCAAAACCCTCTGGGCGACAGTTACTTTTCACTCCCGTGAAGTCAGCTCCTACACACAGACCCCAAGACCCAATGAAACATTGTCCTGTACCATCTTTACTATCATTGGTGTGCCTAAGTCCATTATTACAGCCACAGTTTGTCTTTCCAAACTAAGGGGCTCAGCTTCTGGCATCCTGGGCAAATATCCTTCAGCACTGTCCTGTGACACTCAGGACACAATGGCTCCAATGGCTCATTTGCGGAAGCAGGCCACCAGGCTTTTTCTGAGTCTACCTTACTCCTGGGTTAGGTGATTCTTACCACTGGGCCAACTGGCAGCATCATGATAGATAGTCAAGAGACTGAGATTGTTAACAGCTTTAGTTTGCTTGGCTCCACAATCAACACTCTTGGTATCAGCAGGGAGGAAATTAAAAGATGAATTGCATTGGGAATGTCTGTTGTCAGGGACCTCTCCAAAATAATGAAGAGCAACGACCTAAGTCTGGGAACTAAGGCACACCTGATCCAGGCCATAGTCTTTGCAATTATTTGCTATGTGTCAGAAAGCTGAGCAATGAGCAGGGATGATAGGAGAATTGATGCCTTTGAGCTGTGGTGCTAGAAAAGAGCATTGAATATACCACGGACTGGTAGGAGGGCAAAGAGGTCTGTCAGAGAGAGGGTGAAACCAGGCTGTTCCTTGGAGGCAAGGATTCTGAGGCTTCTTCTGACATACTTTGGACATGTTATAAAGAGGGACCAGTCCTTGGAGAGGGACATCATGCTAGTGGAGGGAGAGTGCAGGAGAGGAAGTCCCTCGATAAAATGGATTGATTCAGTGACTAGGGTAATAGGGGTAGGTGTGTCAGAGACAATAAGGTTAGCAAAGGATAGGACAGGGTTTAGGGCTGTTGTACATAGGGTCACTATGAGTTGCTGGCCTTACTCTAGAAGCTCAAATACCACAGGTGACCCTGCTGGTATCTGAAATATTGGTGGCACAGCTTCCAGCATTATACAAACACTCAAGTGACACTTCTTTAAAGACCTCTTTAAAGTGCTAGGGAGCTCTAGTGGCCTAGTGACAAGACGCTGCGCTGCAATACCAAAGGTGCATGGTTTGAATCCATCAGGTGCTCTACAGAAGGAGGGACAATCTCCCCCTGTGCCAGCCTAATCTGATTCAACAGCATACAAAAAGTAAGAAAAATAAATAAATAAAGTGCTAAAGACCCAGTATGTCAGTTCAAAGACTAAGGTTTGCCTGATTGAAGCCATGATCTTTTCAACCGCTTCCTATGCATCTGAAAGTTGGAAGAAGGAAAACCAACAAAGAATCAATTGTAATTTAATTGTGCAGTTGGAGAATATCCCATGGACTGTCAAAAGAACAAAGAAGTCTGTCACTGAGAAAGCATAACTAGTGTTCCTTAGATAGTGGGACTTCATCTCACACACCACTTCATCTCACATAACACCTCGCATGTTCTTAAGAGGAACCAATCCTTAGAAAATGATAGCACGTTGGGAAAAGCTGAGGGTTAGTGAAAGAAATGAAGACCTTCAGCAAGACAGACTGACACCGTGACTGCAACAATGGGCTTGAGCATGGAGAGGGGCATGAGGATGGGGCACAGCAAGGCAAGGGGCTGACCTGTGGTTCACAGGAATCGCTACAAGTCAACCAGACAGAACCTAACAAGTATCACCCTAGTAGCATCCTTACTTCCCTCCTTTGTGCATTCTTTCTTCTACCTGGAATGTGCTCATCTGGCCCCATGATCACCTCTCAAGTTCCCTTTCTGGGCAGCCCTGACCTGCTTACTGGAATGAATTTGTGAAAGATACAAAACTCAGGGAAGTCCTGGTGCATGTCTCAAGAACCTTCTATTTTCTTCCAGAGTCAGGTGCCTCAGCCATTTTTCTCAGGAAGGAAAGAAGGGAAACCCCTTCCTCAAGGCTCAAAGTACTTCTCAAAACCCTCAAGAGTTGTAGAAAAGACTAGCAACTTGGAGGAAGGGCACACTGGGAAACAGAGGCTTTAGCCAAATCAACTGAGTCAGAACTGTTTGAGCACATGCCATACACATAGCATGGCCCACAGAGAGGGCAGCACAGCATGACTGACTATCTCTCTCCCACCTCCACCCCCACCCCAGAGGGGACTCACCTTCCCTGGAGGCCTTTCTCTCCCTCCACCCGCACTATTCCCAAAGCCAAGGGTCAGAAAGGGTGGGACCTACATTGTATATGCCCTAGACTGCTACTGCCTCCCAGCCTCCATGGTCCCAGAGAGCAATTAAAACCACAGGCTGGAAGTGGAAACAAAGATCACTGAAGTGAAGCAAAACAGCAACAAAAAGGCAAGAGGTCAACAAAGTTAAAAGTTCTGGAAGTCTCAGGATGTTTGTTCGACTGATGACAGCTGAAGTTGGGGGAAACCAGAAAGTTCCAATGATGTCAACAAACAGCAAGACAGGGCACCATGCTGAGGGAAGGGCAGCTGGGTACCTGGGCAGGTCTTGTGAGGAGCTATGCCGAAGGAGGGGCAGCAAGGTATCTGGGCAGGTTGCTGCTGTTGCTGTGAGGTGCTGTAGAGACCCTGCCCCATCCTGTGCCATCCTCATCACGCCTGCTGTACCTGAGCCCATCCATCCTGTTGAGGGTCTTCCTCTCTTGCACTGACCCTCCATCTTTTTCAGCAAGATGTCCTTTTCCAAGGACCACTCCCTCCTACCAACATGTCCAAAGTAGGTGAGAAGCCACTTCACCCTGGCTGCACCATTTCCAAGACTGACTTGTTTGTTCTTTCACCATTCTTTAACATTGTTGTTGTTGTTATGTGCCATCGAGTCACTTGTGCCTCATAGCAACCCTATGTACAAAGGCCCTAAACTCTGCTCTGTCCTGTGCCAATCGCACTGTCTCCAATACACCTACCCTGATTACCCCAGTCACTGAATCAATCCACCTCACAGAGGGTCTTCCACTCCTGTGCTGTCCCTCCACCCTCCCAAGCATGATGTCCCTCTCCAAGGACTGGTCCAAAGTATGTTAGATGAAGCCTCAGAATCCTTGCCTCCAAGGAGCTGCCCAGTTTAACCCTCTCCAGGATGAATCTGTTTGTTTTCCTAGCAGTCCATGGTTCCCTCAATACTCTTCTCCAGCACCACAGCTCAAAGGCATCAATTCTCCTTCTATCCTCCCTAGTCATTGTCCAACTCTCTGATGCATAACAAGTGATAGCAAAGACCATGGCCTGTATCAGACACACCTTAGTCTCCAGAGAGACACTACTGCTCTTCAGAACTCTGGAGAGGTACATAACAGCAGACCTTCCCATCGCAATACCGCTTAATTTCCTGGCTACTGGTGCCAAGAGAACTGTTGACTACGGAGCCAAGCAAACTAAAATCTCAATCTTTTCACCATCATCCATCCTGATGCTACCAATTGGTCCAGTGGTGAGAATCTTTGTCTTCTTGACATTGAGCTTCAATCCATATTGAAGGCTGCAGTCCTTGACCCTCTGCTGCGAGCGCTTCAGGTCCTCCTCAGTTTCAGCAAGCAGGGTTGTGTCATCCGCATAAAGCAGACTGCTGATAGATCTTCCACCAATCCTGACACCACATTTTTCCTCATAAGGCCCAGCCTCCCGGATAATCTGTTCTGCATACAGGTTGAAAAGGTATGGATACAGGACACATCCCTGGAGTATGCCCTTCCCAATTTTGAACCATGCAGTGTTTCCCTGCTCTGTTCTGAAGTCTGCCTCTAGGTTCCGCTTTAGCATGATCAAGTGTTCTGGGATTCCCGTTCTTCTCCAAGTCAGCCACAGTTTAGCAGAGACAAATACCAAGGGTTAAGAAAAAATACATGTGTCACAAAATAGTTGTTCCCTTTACCTGACTTTTGTCCAAGGGAGGCAGAGCGCCAAAACACTATCAGGTCCCTTCTGCGACCATTGTCCTAAATTGTCCACAGGCCTGGGGGTCCGCGCACACACCCCTCGGGAAATAAATGCCTCGGACCTTCCCCCTAGGACGCGCGTGTCTCCTCGTTACCCGCCCGCACTCCACGCTGAGCCGCAGTCCCTCTCCTGGGGACACGCGACGCTCGCTCACCGAAGTAGTCCCGCGCCGTGCGCGCCTCCAGCGCCCGCTCCAGCTCGCGGGTGAGCGCCTCCAGCCGCCGCTCGGCCGCGGTCGGGCCGCCCTCCCGGCTGGCGGGCAGCTGCAGTGAGGGAAGCGGGAAAGGGGCCTGGCCAGCAGGCTCGGGCGAGCGCGCGGGCGCCACGCTGGCTCCGGGAGGCAGCAGGTCGGCGTAGGCGCCGGCAGAGCCGCGAGAGCCGAGGCTGGACACGCTGGAGCGGGCGCTGCCCACAGACGGCGGCCCGAGGCCGGGGCGCGGGTCCGAGAGGCCAGGGCGCGGGCTGCCGTGGCGCTGGTCGTAGCCCAGGCTGATGCCGCTGGAGCGGGCGCTGCCGCCGCCGTCCGAGCCCGCCAGGCTGGCCTGAGGGCTGCCCGCGAGCTGCGCGCTGAGCTCGGAGGACGCCGCGCGCCAAGGGCCTCGGTCCGTCCCGGCCTCGGGGCCGCCGCCTCCCTTCCCTCTGCGGCCCAGCGCCGACGCTGCCTCGTCTCCGGGCCCTGACCACGGTCCCTGCCGCCCCCGGCCCAGAGAGTCGCCGCCTGGCTCGAGCTCCCGCAGGGCCAGCCCGGCCAGGAGCAGGGCCGCCTCATCCGCGGCCGCGCGGGAGTGCTGCATGGCCCGGCCCGCCGGCCCGAGAGCGTCACCTCCGCCTCCACTTCCCGCCGCCGCTCCGGCCGCGCCGCCGCATCGTCCGCCGGGCGTCGGGAGCCAACCCCGGGACCCCTGGGCGCGGGGCGGGGCGAGGCTGGAGCGGGGGATGAGGCTGGGGGAGGCCCGCACGGCCCTCGGACGCGCGCTGAGCGCAGTAATGCGCGCGGCGGAGGGATGCGCGCGCCTAGGCGCCGGGCGGCGCCCCCTGTCGCGGTGGTCGCGCGGGGGGCGGAGGGACTCCTTTGCTGGGGCAGGAATGCGAGGAAGGAGACAGCGCTTCGACCGCTGGAATGTGGGGGAGTGGCAGCCGCGGCGGCGTCGGAACTGCGCCGGGAGCGGAGAGGGGCTTGCGGACTATTCCGGGACGCCGAGCGGGAAGTTCCTGCGGCGGCCCGGCCGAGGATTCCCGCTCTGCGCGATACTCCCGGACCTCTGAGCCCCTGGGAAGGGCCGAGCTGGAGGAACGCAAGTGGCTGACTGACGTTCTCCACATCCTCCTCCATCTTCCCAGCGCTGACAGTGGAGATGACACTGTGTTCCCACGTGTGTCTCCAGCACCTCCAGACCTTCCGGGAAAACACTGGTCTCAGGAGTCCCCCTCAGGCCTAGTTGCTGGGACCCCAGTGAGATAGGGACATGCGACCGGTCTCCCTGCAACAGGTCCCCAAGGCCAGACAAAGGCAGGAGCAGGCCTCTGGCTGAGAGCCAGTGAGTAGTGAGCCTCAGCGGTGGCCAGCACGGGCCTTGAGGTGTGAAGACCCTTCCTTTTCCGAAGCAACTGTCCTCTGTCCTGGGTGACACCGAGGGGTTGCCGGTGAAAACCTTTATGCTGCCACCGGTTGTGGGACAGACTTCTAGCTGTTAGGTGGCATCGAGTCGACCCTGGGAACTACGGATCTGCACCCTGCCCTATGCTGTGTCATCCTCCTCTTCTCTGATACAATTGAGCTAGTTGTTAACAATCACCGTGTCGGTTCATCTTGTCTGATCTTCCACCTTCCCAAGCATGATGTCTTTTTTCCAAGGAGTGGTGGTGGTGTTTTTAAGTGCCTTCGAGTTGAGTACGACTCATAGCTACAAATACTCTCTCCTACGCCGTCCTCACACTTCCTGAAACACAGGAGCCCATTGCAGCAGTCATCATGTCAATCCACCTGGTTGAGGGTCTTCCTCTCCTTCACTGACCCTCCAACTTTCCTAGTATCATGTTCCTCTCCCAGCACCATCTCCAAAGTATGTGAGGCGAATCCTCATCATTCTTGCCTCCAAAGAGCTCTCGGCTGCACCCTCTCCAAGACGTATCTGTTCGTTCTCTTGGCCATCCATGGGATGTTCATTGCTCTTCTCCACCACCACAGCTCAAAGGCATTGATTCTTCTTCTGTCATCCTTATTCACTGTCCAACTCTGATGCATAGCAAGTGATCAGAAAGACTATGGCCTGAATCAGACACACCTTAGTCTCAAACTTACATCATTACTCCTCAATAATTTGGAAAGGTCCCTAACTGCAGATTTTCCCAATGCAATGCATTTCCTTATTTCCTGACTGCTGGTACCAAGGGTGTTAATTGTGGATCCAAGCAAGATGAAGCTGTTGAGAGTTTCAGTCTCCTCTGCATCCATCATGATGCTGCCTCTCAGTGCACTGGTAAGAATCTTTGTTTTCTTGACATTGAGATGCAATCCCTACAGAAGGCTACATTCCCTGATCTTCTGCAACAATTGCCTTAAGTCCTCCTCACTTTCAGCAAGCAAGATTGTGTCGTCTGCATAATGCAGTCTCTCTCCAATCCTGATGCCACATTCCTCTTCATAGAGTCCAGCTTCTCTGATAATTTGCTCAGCATAAAGAGTAGCCCATCTTAACATGTCCAGAGTATATGAGATGAAACATCATCCTTTCCTCCCAGGAACCTCCTGGTTACACTTTCTCCAAGATTTATTTGTTCTCTTGACAGTCCATGGGATATTTAATACCCTTCTCCAGCACCACAACTCGAAGGTATTGCTTCATCTTCTGTAGTCCTTAGTCACTGTCCAACTTTCAGTTGCATAGCAAGTGATCGAAATGACCATGGATCCTGTGCACATTTAGTCTTTGGAGAAGTCCTTGACAGCAGCTTTTCTAGACCAAGAGTAATAAACTGGACTCCTGGAAAGATTGACTTCTCAAGCTTTGCTGGAAGACAAGAAGTAACTAGGATTTTATCTCCAGGGAAACAAGCTACAAAGCTTTGCGTACATTTCAAACAGCCCTAAGAAAAGAAAGGTCAGCACTTGGTGGGTCCAGGCTCACACCTTGAATGAAAAAGCCCCTCTTTCCTGGCCATACTTGAGGAAGTTGCCTGCAGTGTTTGAAAGGGCAAGTAGCCTAGACTGGGTTCCAACCCTGTCCAGATGAACTAGGGCAGGTTGACTTAAAAAATGCTGAGGAGCCAGATGTGGCACATTGTTGTGTCTGTTCCAAGAGACACACTCCCAACATCTCTGCAGCTTACAAAATTGAGGCACCCACTGTGTGCCTGGAGCAGGTGTTCTGGGGAGCAAACATGTGAGGTGATTTTATGTAGTGATTACCACATAAAAAATGGTCCACCTCTCGATACATCACTGATCAAATTACCATTTGAAAATGAAAATATTGGCAAAACTGTTGGTGAGACAAGCACATATTTTTTCTGATGTTGCATAAATATATCATTTCAGGAAAAGCAATTGGGTAGATCAGAATCCTAATTGAAAACAAGCACAAAACACTCCTACTAGCAGTAATGATCTTTCCAACACTCTCTCCTAGGGAAGTAATCCAAAATTCAGACAGTTTAAGCACAAAAGTCTCTTGTCACACCATTGTATGATCTATACAGTCCCAAGGTGTCCAGCTTTCTGAAAACAAATTTGGAGGAAACTCTCTATCCTCAAAGGCAGTGCTTAAATAACTACTCACTCGGAACTTTCAAGATTTAAACAATATGGTATGGTCTGGGAGTCAGCTAAAATACATTAACAATAAAACAATAGAAACAAACTAAATGCTCAACACTAGAACAAAGTATCTTACGACTGTGTTGAGACTGTCATGTTGAGTGCGAAGAGTTGTGTGGTCTCAACTCTCACTGACATGAATGTCTTCTAAAGCCTATCTTCTTCTGTATCCTCACTAACAGTATGATGTTGAGGCAGCTCACTGCTATCCTTTCATTTGGAAAACAGGAGTAAAATGAAAAGTTTCAGGGACTAATTCCTGGGATTCAAAACATTGTCTATGGACTCACTGTTGGGTGTACATTTATTGTTGCCCTTTTTCTCCTTGAGCTTAGTTCTGATGTTATAATGTTGTTCTTAGGTATCACTAAGTTGAGGACTACAATTCATAGCAATGCTAGGACCAACAGATCTAAACCTTGACCTATCTAGCACCAGATCCTCTTAATATCTAACATGATGAGGTCTATTATTACACTCACTATGCCAGTCCATCTTGTTGGAGATCTTCCTCTCTTTCACTGACCCTCTTAATCAATATAATGACTTATTCCAAGGACTAGGCCCTCCTGATTGTTGTTGTTGTGTACTTTCAAGTTAGAACCAACTCATAGCGGACCCTCCAGCAGGTTTTCAGAGGCAGTTAATTACCAGGAGGAGATTGTTCATCTTTCTCCTGCAAACAGCTGGTGAATTAAGATCTCATGCCTTTGGGTTGGCAGCAAAGTTCTTTACTAAGTCACCAGAGCCCCCAAGCCTTTCCTGATACTATGCCCAAGTATGTGAGATGAAGTTTCACTATCCTTGTTTCTAGGAAGTACCCTCATTCCACTTCCTCCAGCACACGTATGTTTAGCAGTTCATGGATATTCCATACTCTCCACCAACATTCAAAAACATCAATTCTTCCACATTCTTCTTTATACCAGCTTCTTGAATTACTTGCTCAGCACACGACTCAATAGGTATGGAGAATGGACACACGTCTTTCCTTATTTCCTTGTTCTTTTTGGGCAACAGCTTCCTGGTCTATGTACAGGTTTTCCATGAGCACAATTACCATAATAGGAATCCCAAAATTCAATCGTGCTCATGTGAAATCTATGCATAGCCTCAATGGAGCATTGAGAAATGCAACCAACCAGCTTTCAGATAAAGCTCTGATGGGTAACTGTAAATTTCCACAATGCAGATGCCCCCACTATGGCTAATGTCAAATTACCAGTGTGGTGTCAGAGTTGGGAAGAGAACACCAAACCAGACCCACTGCCATTGCATCCATTCTGAATCATAGTGACCACAGGGCAGGGTAGATCTATTTTTCTGTAGAATTCATGAGGATGGGCAGAAAAGACATTTTTCCAACGCTTCTAAACCATAATTCTTTCAATCAGATGGAGCCCACCCTCAGTTTTCCTGGTCCTGGTGGCCCTTGTAAGCCTCACAGGAGGCACAGTAATGAAATCACTGGCAACTGGCATGGACAGGTTGGTTCTTCATTCCAAGTTTTAAGGTTAGGATCTTCTTTCGCTTAAGGAGCAAGTGGCCATGCTGAAATCCCAACTACGGAAGGGCTTTTTTTCTTGCCTTGAAATCTTACACGTGGGAATTTCTGGAACCACTTAAGAGATTCCACGAGGAGCTAGTGGAGTTGTCTAGATTTCTGCAGCTTTTGGCCTCACTTTTTAAAAAAATTATTGTATGGTCTGAGTTTATAAAGCATATTGTTGGTGTGTTGTTTTTTTTTTTCAGTTGACACACATTTTGCTTCAGAACGTTGATGACACCATCTACATTGTACCATGAAGATGGCAAAGGATAGGAAAGAGGTCTGTTTTATTGTGGTGGTGTTTTTATTTTGTGTGTACCATCAAATCAGATCCGACTGGTACATGGAGGAAATTGCCCCTTTCTCCAGTGGAGCACCTGGTGGATTCTGAGTGCCTTTGGGCTTGCAGTGCAACTTCTTGCTAGGCC